ATATATATATATATATATATATATATACATACATACATACATACATGCATATATATATTATTTTATTTTTTATTTTTTTGCTAAAGAGTGTTTTATTCTTCTTTTTTTCAGGTTGTGGGTGCACCACATTCTTCATCACAGATTGCTAATTCGTCTAATAGTTCAGACTTGCAATTCAGCTTAAAGTCTGGATACAGTGAGTCAAGGTGGGACGCTCAAACACAACGTTTTTTTTTAATTTTATTAAACTGTCGTTTGATCTCTTAATGAATATCCATTTTTCATAATGTACACTGTTGTGATGCCTAAATTTACTTGTAGCAAGTGTTATTTTAGAAATATTTACTATTATAGTATTTATTATTACTTTGAATTAGCTTTTATTTTTGTTATCAGTTCTCATTTTAATTGTAGGGTTTTTTTATGTTGTTTTTTTATGTTTCTGTTTAGTTTTTACTTCAGTTTTAGTAATTTTAGTACTTCAATTTAAGCTGTTTTTTCTGGTAGTTGCCAAGGCAGCATTTCTAATTTAAAGTTTTTCATCTTAAATTGTTTTTTTTTCCATGAATTCATTCATTCAATCCATTCAACAGCTCCAAACCAACAAGTACTGATGGCCAGCCATGTTTCTCACCTTCAAGAAAAAGGATAAACCCCTCTTCAGACTCTTCATCTCAGTCTGCTTCACAGGTACAGTCTGCGTCTTCATCTAATGCCTCATTGGTCTCCAAGACTACGGACACTGACCTTCATGCCCAGACAGCTTCAGAGTCGATTCAGAGCCATGACACCCATGCAGTGGCTGGCATGTCAGATTTTCAGGGCAACAAAAGTCATGTTGGTGATGGTCACATAAGTCCACGCAGGTTAAAGGAGGAGTTCAGGTGCAGTGAAGGAGAAAGCAAAGAGTCAAAGCCATCACACTTAGACAAGTTTGGCTCTGGAGCTGGACGGAGTGAGGACCGGAATAGGGATTTAGAGCGGCCAGACTTTTCTTCAACTGTGAAAGACAGGGACCGATACAAGCACTATAGGGAATACAACGAAAGAAGCCGGAGTCGCTATGGTCATAGCTATCGAGAGAGTCGTCCCTTTAGAGAGCGTTCCACCAGTAGAGACCGGCATCACGGAGATCGTGAAGGGGAGAGACACTGGGACAGATTCTCACACCACCGTCGAGAGCACCACCATTCCCTAAGAAGACCCAGAGAGGAACATGACCGGAGTAGGGATAGGAGATTTGTGAGTGATGCTTATCGTCCTTCTGGTCACCATAACCGGGATGGATATTCCAGTCACAGCCATCGTGGGGTGGATGGTGGCTGTGGAAGGACGTCCCATACAGTGAACGGTTCTAAAGTGAGACCCTCATCTCCACATTCTATCAGCCCACTGCCTGGACATTACAAACGGAAACGCAGTCCATCGGCTGATGCAAGACAAAGCTCTGATGAGTGCCGAGTGAAGAAATCCAAAAAGAAAAAGAGAAACAAAGAAAAGCACAGGTGAGTCATTTTTTAGTAGCATACTTTGCCTACTGCTTTCTTTTGCTCTGGATTTAAAGATTTATTCAAACATGTATCAAATTCACTAATAATAATTATAATTAATAATAATAATAAAAAAATATGAAAAGCATAAACGAAATTCTTGCAAAGAAAATCTTAAAGGGTTAGTTCACCCAAAAATGAAAATTAGCCCATAAATTACTCACCCTCAAGTCATCCTAGGTGTATATGACTTTCTTCTTTCAGACGAATCCAGTCTGAGTTATATTAAACGGAGGATTTCGATATAAGCCAAGAGGAGACTGGTTTTCCTTTGTTAAAGTAAGGAAACGTTGCTTCCTTTGCTCCTGTTAACAAACGTTGGTTTTCACGAGACTCACGGCGCATGCAAAACGCCAACCTCATACGTCATCCGCCTGGAGTGCTTTTTATTTAACTTCTTTTGGACTGATGCATGCAACACCCGCTGAGTGGCATTAAACGGCTTGAAAGATCAAAGACAATTTTATATAACTCCGACTGGATTCGTCTGAAAGAAGAAAGTCATATACACCTAGGATGACTTGAGGGTGAGTAATTTATAGGCTAATTTTCATTTTTGGGTGAACTAACCCTTTAAGTGGTGTTATAATTTCTTATTTATTTATTCTGCCAATTATTCTTTTTATTTTTATTAAAATATTAAAACAACTTCACTGCATTTTAATATTTGAAAAACATTTAAAGCTTTGACAATTTGATTTGTCATTGACCATTTAATATTTGACTAGGTGAGAATTTAAAACCATTGAAAAATAAAAACTATTAAAAGACTAGTTGATCATTGTGACTTTCCACTTATAGGCACTCAGAGAAGGACCCATCTGAGGGCAATGAGGATAGCAGCTCCAAGAGACATAAGAAGAAAAAGAAAAAGAAGAGGAGAGAGGATGAGGAAAGGCCTCACACTAGGAGAGATGTCACTCCGAGGCGGGAAGAGCATGATTCTAGAGCTAGGAATGGTGCAGAGAGAGGAAGTCAGCACCACATCTCTGAGTTTCTTCACAATGTCCACCGAGACCATATGGAGGACCAGCAACAGCTCAATGGACACAAAGGTGCTTAATTGTTAATAGCTTACACCGTGTCTACACCGGATGCAACAGTTGTCACGCCGTGCCGCAACAGCTAAAGTCTGTCTACACTGGACGCAATGCGACCGTTGCAAATAATTTGAATTTTGTGGCAGTACGTCATAAATAGAATGAGGCAACAGTTTACTGTTGGAGATTTGTCGCGCCGCATCCATTGTAGACAGCATCACTAATTATAATGGGTTCTATAGTATTTTGTCGTGTCGTGTGTAGACACAGTGTTAGACTTGATGTCTTTTTGAACAGCGCAAAGTGGAAGCAATGCATGCTTCAGGCAGTAGCATACTTTCGTTTTGCACATTTTAACTCGTCTAGGTCACTTTTCACACTTAAATCAAATGGAAAAAAAGAAAACAAGCATATTTTTAACATTAAAATTTGCATTGTGGTGATATTTTCATGGCAGCTAAGCACATTTCCCCCCAAAATGATCATTTCCACAGCTTTTTTCCAATAAGCACTGCCAAATGCAATTTAAATATGTATACATATGAAGTAATATGCAAACATTTACAGTTTGCATTATTTTGCAGTAATGATAATTGGGCGTTGAAGTGCTTTTTGATTGAAATATTGACATTTAAATTAATATTACAAATAACCCATGCTGTCTCTTTCCATCGTGTGACAGAAATTTTTTTTTGTGTTTCATATACAAGATATAAACAGGGCCTTTTGAGTGACATGGTTTATCTTTGTGACTTTTGACATTGCATGGGTCAAAGCTTAGTAGTCTCTTTCAGATAGCAGTGCTAACACTGAAATGTTCCCGTAAGCTGATGTTATGTTCTGATACATAACTGGTTTGCCAGTAATTGACAAATTTACTATCTGGATTCTACTCAAAACCTCCCCAGGCTTGCATACATCCACAATCATGCATTTGATCCTGGCACAGTATTATACATTCACACGTAAATGCCATTTGGGGAAAAAATTAACTAATGTATTTTGTGTAAAAGGTTTTTTTTTTTTTTTTCTCCAGCTAATGGCCTGAGCTGTTACAGTGGAAATGAACTTGATCTTTGTCATACTGGGATGGAGAAAGACATGAAATACAAATATTTTGACCACTCTACCACTGTCAACAGCACAAAGACACTCTCAAATGGAAATGGAGATGTGGACGGTGTCTATCACAGGACCCTTTCAGATGTTGAAGTGAGTAGACTCTCTCTACATTTTATAACTCAACCACAAAAATACAGGATTTTTTCAGAAAAACGTTATGTTTACAAATGTTGAAGTTTAAATATTTGTAAAATATTATATGTAATTAAATGTAATTAAAAATAAAATGCATTCATTTTGTAGGTTTTTTTATGGTTGTTGTAGTTGCACAGCTCTGACTGATCTCTGGTTTTCACAGAAAGACACTCAGCCTCACTAAAGGGAAACTGATTTCTTGATCACACCCTAAGGTAAGAAATTTAGTTTTGTAGTTTTTATTTATTTATTTTTTAAACAAAATAAGCTCAGCTCTAATTGTCTCGTTCCCTCTCTCGTTGTATAAAGACTCTGAAAACCACCCATGCAAGCATGTGAAAGATAAAATCTACAGCTACAGTTCCTGACATGGTGCTTAACATTTAGAACATACTGTATTTTTACCACGAGATGAATTTTAAAGTTGCTTTATTTTGTCTTTTGTTTTTCTTTATTTTTAAGGTTATGGATTTTTTAGTACACTGTACATAAATGAACTTTGATCATGAAAAAAATTATATATAAAGTTAATATATGCGATTTTAAAAAAAGCCTGGAGCTTAACATCAGAATTGCTGCTCAGACATACAGACTCAGGATTTTCTCACTTGTGAAGATGAGACAAGCGCTCCCTTTAAGGAATCAAACCTGGGAAAGATGAGAACATTTATATGCTGCATCGGCAGAGAAAGACTGCTTGTCTCTTGGCTTCAAGTTATGATGTCACCATTTTCACATATCGGTTGAGAGAACTGTCTCAAAGGAGCAGCCTTTGCTAATGCTACACGTGCACTTACGTCACAGTTAACCTGGACACACTTGAGGACATAAGATGTTTGCTTTGCTGTCTCTTGTACCTCTCTTTTTTAGCATCTCACTGTATCAGACCTTTCTAGAATGCAAGTTCATTGCATCTTTTTTGTTTTTAATTCTCACTGTTTATTTTTCTTGAATACGCTTTGATTTTAGTCAAAATAATACTGTGAATTTAAGTTGAACTACTATCAGTTGTTTGTTTTTGGTCCTGTATCAGGAGGTTTAATAGAGACACTTTCAGTAAAGCCACTCGCAATGTAGACCATGTTCTCTGAACATTTCTCAACTTTTTTGTTCTTCAGCAAAACGAAAGAGACCTGAAAATGGTTATATTCAACTTCATTTTACTGTAGCATGTCAAAGTAAATGTATACAGTGTACAATATGTTGAGTGAGAGGAAACGGCCTTAATGTATGAAATTGTATTATTTTCTCTCACTATGTTTACAGTGTTTTGTTGGAGTGAATGAACATGTATGTGATGATGGGAAGTGTTTGGTTTTGTAAAGGGTGGGGTTTCCTTTTTACATATAAAGAATGACTTGTGAGATATCTGTTTTGTGAAAAATATCTTAATTGATGTGAAGGTGTGGGATTTTTTTAAAGCTACATCTCCGCAATAGGAACACAAACATCGCTTAAGACAGATTTAAATTGAATGTGCTTCGGCCGTATACACCAGCAAATCAGGCTATAGTGGTCATTTATTTGTCTCGATACCCAAGAGCAGTTAGGCTTGTGGACAAAACATACTGAAAGCGGCTTAATATAAAACTGCACAAATCATATTAATTGCAAGATTAGAGTGCACGGTGCTTGCAAAGCAATAACATGCAAATGTTTAATCTTTTCGCTACTAATGCAAGACGACTCCCTAAATACATGAGGGGGAAAAAACTCATTTTTCTGCAGAGCCCTTCGCCAATATTGGGATCCTTTATTAATATATGCAAAATGGTTCGTTTATTCGTTTAGTGATTGATATTCTGTATTGAGGAATGATGGCATCCCTTGCCATGTGTTCAAGAAGACAACACTGTTATCTTTACAAAAAGAGGTTCAACAAATTATTAAAGGAAGGAGTGCCAATAATTGTAGCACAAATATATTTATTTTAAATATAGTTTTCAATTATTTGCCTGTGACTGAGGGTGTGATTTTTGTGACTATTTTAAATAAAAAACAGGATAAACCGTAAAGACATTTTTCACAGTCCGTTGGGCTCATATTTACTAACTGTACAATTATTAGTGGAGGACACTGAATATTGCTTGCAAAAGAAAAAAAAACGAAACTCCGTAATTACCGCATCAACCATTTACCTTGACCCCCGGTGTGCACCGCTTCATCTTTCCAAGTATATAGCACTGTAGCCTGCAGACCTCAAAGTGGGAGGAGCTTATGCCGCAAGAAGCAGTGACCTTCAATTTAGTGAAGTATAGTTGAGGGTGGAGTTAGATATGGACCTTCTATACGACCCATCTGTAGCTGCATCGATACCTGTTACAGTGAGATGCAGGACAGTAGAATACAGGAAGCAAGCTCAGGACGAGCAGCTCAAGAATAGGAGAAATAGCTGCTATGCGTCCTTTCTCTTAAGGAAGTCAAATCTTTACAGAATCTCAACATAAAAATGTTTTATTAGGTCAGTTGCTGAGGTCATGAGTTCAGGGCCAATGGCTTGATTGACAGGACTGACAAACCTGTTTGTTTCATCGGAGATATCTGAATTCCTATTTACTGACACATAACAGAGTTCTGAAATACAGTCTTAAGAGCATGCTGCATATTTACCATATAAATGTTAAGCAGAATACATGTGACAATATTTTACTTATATTAACTATTATAATAATATAATACTACACATTATTTAAAAAACCATACAAAATTATACAGGTATTAAATTTTAAGCCTTCAATTTCAGATGGGTTGTGGTTGCATATCACTATGGTTTTATCTGTTTTAAAAGGTAAACTTAGAAAAGGGGGCCTCATTGTAGAATTTATGTGTCATAAATCGTATTCTTTGTATTTCACTGTGATTAGTATTGCTGTCCTACATGGAACTGGACAGTGATGACAGTGAACAGTGGTTAATTTAATTTAAATCATATCGATTATTTAACCTGTTAGCAGTGTATCTATGAGTATTTCCTTTATACTCTGCAATAAACTATGAGAAATAATGAGTTTCATGTTTACAGAGCCATACAGCCTTCAAAATAAAGGTCTCAGCGGACAAGCTGTAAATACATCGTTTTAGATCTATGGAGTTTCCAAAAAAGTTCAAATAATAAAAATAATTATGGCTTTTGTGATGTCATTTGTGTGTACGGTATGTGTGTTATTTACAAACATAGTAAAAAAACAAAACATAAGTTCACATAACATTGGCAGTATTACATAAATAAAATACATCAACTTATATTAGTAACAATTTAAATCAAAAGGTGAATCAAATGGGTGTAGAGTTTGCATTATTATTAAAAAGACATCAAATAATATTATCATAGTAAGATATCTTCAGAAATAGATTTTTACAGTATTTTATAATACTATTAAGGACCTTAGAAACATAATAAATATAATATGAAAAAGCTTTCTGGTTATTTTCTCTTCCAATTAATGCAACCAGTCCTGCTGATTTGGATGACTATGATATGACACAAATGAAAATAAAAATCATTTAAAACTACAGATGGACAATGAATAATATTTGAAATTATACCATAGCACTAAAAATGACACTCAGCATGACTCCCTGCCATATGGTTCTATTTTCTGTATTCATAGACTACATCTGAAATTTCTGAAAAAACGGTGAGTGGAATTGACATTAACAGTAGTTTGGTATACTTAACATACATATCGTCAACATCTAATATCATTACCAGAGCTTAAATTTAGACTTTTGCCTTGTGAACATCTCCATATAACTATATACCTGGAAATTTGCAATAGCAAACAGTTCCTGTTGTAGGCAGCAGGGGGCGCTACTTACTTTATATTAGACCCTCACATGAAATTAGGCAAATATCGTAGCATAGTTGAATCAGTCATCACTCTTTAAGCAAAGTTCTTTTTGACAAACATTCAGCACATAATTGCATCATCACCATCACTGTCTTCCCCTTACAATACATTCGGAGAGAAATATTTAGCACATTATCCCTTAGATTACCTCAGGACCTATACAGACACCATCATTTTTTAAATCTTGCCCTTCTTTATGTTCAGAGAGCTTGTGTCTCTGTCTGTCTGTCACCTCCTGCAACATGCAGGATCCCATGTGAAGGTTTCCACTTGAAGAGTGATTATTAAACCCAAACTGAAGGTCCATGGCTCACTTTTTAGTGGCCACTCGCCGTTTCCTAGTAGCCAGCATGTCATAGAAAGGATCCCTGCTAATGCTTGCCCTGTAGGAAAGCAACAATAAAAATTGTACAATCAAAGCATAGAAATATACATCCATATAAAACAATAACAGTATTTTCTGGAAGCAGTCAACCTGATTATAAAAACATACAGGGTACTTTTATTTAGGGTTTGGGTGGCACAGAGTTCCTGGCAGTCCCACAGGACATGCCGAGGCAGCTTTTGATGTAAAACACCAGGCTAAACTGACCACAGAGCAGTTCCACAATTCCAGCTGAGTCAGAGGACATGTGTTAACTAGACACTTGTGCCACAGATTTTCAACTATTGTACACAAATGGCCTTCAGAGACCTACATAAGACCCAAACATACGTTTTCCATTTCTTTTAAAACCAGTCTGTTTTAGGCTGGGAAAAAAAAGCCAGAGTCATGGCCAACAGCAAGAGACGTAGTGGTCTTTGGCTTCCCCTTCTCCAGTGATAAATGCTGATTTATCCTCAGGAACATCCATTTAACCTTCAGAGGACGTGGGTCACTCAGAATCCATTATAGTCTTGTCAGCCCTACAGTGTGAGGTTTGTAGAGTATATGTACCACACTGTGAAAAATCTATTTCCTAGGCTGATATTTTGTCTTGTTTTTCAGTAAAAACATCCTTAAAACAAAATAAATGTTTTATTTATTTTAAAACTTTTTTTTTTGATGAAAAAATTCATTAATATTTATTTATTTTATTCAATCTGACAAAATTGTAAGAAAAAAAATACTATTAATATTATAAATAAATTAAAGATTATTTTCTGCAAATTTCTATTTTAATGCAAGTTTAAATTGGATTAGTTAGTTTTACTGGAAAACAAGACAAAAATCTTTTTTTTTTTTCAGTGCACAGCCAAGGTCTAAAACACTGGAAACACTCTCTTCGTCTTATCAGCACAATGGCGATGTTCCATGATAAGAGAAGCCAATGTTCCTTTCTGAGCATCTGTGGGTGTGTGTATATGACCTACAACCAGCACACATCGGTTATCTGAGAAGAGAATAATGAGGGCTGACACTATCTTAACTATCTGAATCATCAATACATTTTATAGATAAATCCTAAATCTATTTATTGCTCAAACAGGACATATCGAGCAGTTCTACTTACTGTTGTATATTCAAAGTAATACAGACAGTTATCTGTCAAAATGAACCACCTCCTCTTCCAGGTCTTCACTCTCCCCCCTGCAATTCAAAAACAGATAATATATAAATATATACATATATATATATATATATATATATATATATACACATTGGGAAAGTGCTTAAACAGTGGCAGATCCTTTATTCTGTAAATAAATAACTGCATGACATGGAATTAGTGTAGACCCTATCTCTCAGCAACTAACATTTGCCAAAATCCATTTGATGGATATTAAAGGAACTTTACTCATAAACATTTACTCACTGAAGTGCTATAAAAGCTTTAATGGTCTGCTAATAACAGCATTATCTATGTAATCCTAAAAATCTATGTAATCCTATGTAACACCGAAAAAAACATTTTTATTACTTTGAATGATGTCACAGTAGCAAATCTGCTGGATGAGCCATAATGTAAAAAAGTTATTGAGTGAGATGTTGGATAATACCACATTAAATCCAATCTTCAATGAAATCAGGGCAAACTCATGGGTTTGAAACCATGAAAGAACGATAGATAGATAGATAGATAGATAGATAGATAGACAGGCATACAGAGAGAAAGATATACAAACCTAGTTTTAGCAGCCATCCCTCTCTGTCTGGATTAAAGAATGTGTGAGTTAGATCGTTCCCATCGTCTTCAGGAATTTTGAAAGGCTCATTCTTAATGCTTTCATATAAATTCTGTGAAGGAAAAAACAACATGCAAATTCCTATTCTATCATTACATAACTTAGAGAGGAGTGTGCAGCTCTCTCCATCACAGTAGGACGCAGAGACTCACTCTGAGCAGCTCCTCAGGCAGATCTCCTCCCTCGTTGATGCCCCGATTCATGGATATGAACCTTTCCACTGAGGGCTTGTCTCTGACATTAGGGTTGTGCAGGCTGGTGTTGAGCATGATGACAGAGAACGAAAGAACATAGCATGTGTCTGTGGAGAGAAGAAACTTGGATCGGTCAGTCATCTCTGCAGGTCCACAATGGCAAATTAAATGGAGAATGCATATAAATATACTATATGAACAGTATTTAACTCTCTTTTTTCTCATTTTAATTTTTTAGTAGTTGACTTCTAAATGATAAATTCTGAAAGCATAGAGTTTTATGCAAGATATAGGCCAGTTTTTAATGTCTCTGCATCTTTATGCATGACTCCATGCTGATAGAAATATATTAATGCTTTGGACATTTGCAGACTCTGTTTATGAATAAATAATCATTCCCTTGCGCTTTGTTTT